TGGTTGAGGTCTCTCTCTCTCTCCCTTCCTCTCTCTACACATGGTTGAGGTCTCTCTCTCTCTCTCTCTCTCTCTACACATGGTTGAGGTCTCTCTCTCTCTCTCTCTCTCTCTCTACATATGGTTGAGGTCTCTCTCTCTCTCCCTTCCTCTCTCTACACATGGTTGAGGTCTCTCTCTCTCTCTCTCTCTCTCTACATATGGTTGAGGTCTCTCTCTCTCCCTTTCTCTCTCTACACATGGTTGAGGTCTCTCTCTCTCTCTCTCTCTCTACATATGGTTGAGGTCTCTCTCTCTCTCTCTCTACACATGGTTGAGGTCTCTTTCTCTCTCTCTCTCTCTACACATGGTTGAGGTCTCTCTCTCTCTCTCTCTCTCTCTCTACATATGGTTGAGGTCTCTCTCTCTCCCTTTCTCTCTCTACACATGGTTGAGGTCTCTCTCTCTCCCCTTTCTCTCTCTACACATGGTTGAGGTCTCTCTCTCTCCCTTTCTCTCTCTACACATGGTTGAGGTCTCTCTCTCTCTCTCTCTCTCTACAAATGGTTGAGGTCTCTCTCTGGCTACACTAATCTCTGTTGTGGCTCACACTGCCTCGCCTCCCTCTTCCCTCCTCCCTCCTCCTCCTCTTCTCTATATAAGCCACTCTAAGCCTGCATTTCTCACTGACTGACAGCACCGGAGCATGCACTAGTCTGTGTACTACAATTTGCTCCACCATGACCTCCGCTAAGACCTCGCACCCCTTCACCCGGTCACCCGCTCTCCCCCCCACAGCCCCCCACGCATCTACAGGTACGTTTCGAAACACAATTTTCTATTTTTGAGCAAACAATGGTGTTTGTTTTGATAGTGTAAGTGGGTGCCGGACATGTGTCTCTCCACTTTCCAATATTCTCAATGGACTTTGAAAGGAAGTGGTATTGTTGGAAATGAACTGGTTTCCTTTATTTTGATGATAAATGTCAAGACGTCCTATAACAAAAAGTTTCATAAGTTACTAGGGTTTTATCTATACATATTTTTGAGTGCATATGTACAATTGCAATTTCACCAGTGGCATTTTAAAGCTATATATAATGTGTTACTTTTCAGCTGACTTACACAGAAACTTGTGTATTTTTGTTATTGCTCATGGACGAAGTTTTGCTCCGGCTCCTATTGACTTATGTCGAAAAGTAAACTCCTCCAGCTCAGTAACCGTTTGTGTCCCACTCACCATTGTGTGCCTAAAAAAAATCTGCGGTTTAGCGTTCTCTGTGATCCTGTTGTTTACAGTACATTTTACTATTGTCTTTGTAAATCCAGATGTGAACCACACCAGCGACCAATCAGATGCCACGGGGGGAACTCCAGCAACATTATGGCAACTTTGTAATAAGTCTATATCATATATTTGATTCATTTTTAAGTTGAATTGCAGAAATAAATCAGCTTTTTAAATGCTATTCTAAGGTCTGAGTCTCACCTGTACATGCTTCAGTTGGAATGACCCCCGTTGCATTATTGCACTTGTACAGTATTTCTTTTGAGGACATGGCTAACATGGGCAAGAATGTGCCATGCTATAGGGCAAACGTTTTTTGTCAAAATAGATCTTGTCTTTGAATTGCGTTGTATCCAGTTAAAAGATTTTTTTATCTGCTTTAGTTTTGGCGCCATCAGCTGTTAGTAAAGCTTTACCAAACCTGCGACTTATTTTTCTTGAGTGTTGGCAATTGATAATTCTTAGAACCTTTGGACACAGTATCTCTATGAATTTGCAGATCTCTGAGGGCCTCCTGCTGGGACTCTAAGGATCTCTGAGGGCCTCCTGCTGGGACTCTGAAGAGCGCAGGGACTGGCCTCCTGCTGGTGCCCAGAGTCAGAACTAAACATGGGGAGGCAGCATTTCAGATTTATCGAGCTTGAAAGAAAGGATGACACCCGCACACTGTCCAACTTGCAAACACCAGTGGTTTATTAGCAACGTTTCGGCCACAGGCCTTCCTAAGGCAAAATAACAATAATATTGTTATATATAATATTATATAATATAATAATATTTTGCCTGAGGAAGGCCTGTGGCCGAAACGTTGCTAATAAACCACTGGTGTTTGCAAGTTGGACAGTGTGCGGGTGTCATCCTTTCTTTCATGTTTGGCCACCTAGTGCGCGCCCACTCCTACGCACCTGTCAGAGAAGAGATGTGCGAAGTCTACCTCTTTTAACAGATTTATCGAGCTAAAATCTGGAACAGCCTTCTTAAAAATGTGAGACAGGCTTCTTTACTGTCAATGTTCCAACCCACTTAAAAACAGTTCTGTTTCGCTGTGCCAACAACTGAGGGATTTTATCTTCACTCCTTGTAATGTACTGTGATTCTGATCTTTCTATCTGGTTTTGTTCAGCACTTTGAGCTGCCTTGTGTATGATCTGTGATACACAAATAAAATTGCCTCGGAATGTGCAGCAGCCACACCTGTGCGACTGGGGCAGATGTGGCTGTAAACATGAAGAAGACATGTGTTTAGGTGGAATGTAGTGAGATTGGAGTTCCTCACTGTCACAGCTGCATATAAAGCAGGGATGGCAAACTCATTTTCGTCTGGGGCTGAATACAAAAGAATAAGATCTAGCAGGGGGTCAAAGTATTCAAGTTTTATTAATGGATTGTTTAAAGGTATTTTGACATAAGGATTATATTGCATGTGTTGTTAATATAGGTTTGGATGCTATATTCTGGTAGCTTTTTTTTGGAAAGACACAAAACTGAAATGCAAATATATAAAACACTGAATTTTTCATTTCACCTTTTCTGATTAAGTGTTGGGGTCCAAATTTTGAATAACTGAAATGATGTAGTTTCTTTCTTCAGATATTTGGGTTGAATTTAGGTAAAACATGCCATGGTCCATCTTAGCCTCGATGCTGTAAGTCAAACATAATAATTGAAAGTGATGTCAGGGGCCCGCAGGTCGTGTGTTTGGCACCTGTGCTGTGGAGCCTCATGTCTGTTTACTGCAGAGACTGGTGCTCCGAGAGGCCCCGCCCCCTCAGACTCAGACAGTCTGGGTCAGGATTGGAGCTGTACTGTACATCTGTGTGTAGTGGAAGTGGTTGGGGAAAGGACAAGTACTGTATGTTATGTACATAGAACGTGTATAGGTGTGTAGTGGACTAACGAGTGTGACATCATCATAGCGATAGCATTAAAGCTACATTACCTTACTTTATTTTTTTATTCATTACAAAAATGCAATCCATATCCATGCAGTGCATTGGGATATACGTCCTTTTGAAGAAAAAGTAGCGCAGATTTGTGCTGGCGTGTCATTTTATTTTAGATCGAGTTTTTGTGCAACAAGGAAGAGAATTTGTTTCGGGTCCAGATTGTGACCAATCACAGCGGACCACTGGCCCCCACTTTCTTGTGAAAAGCTACAGGTCTCTCTTTAGCGCAGACAGCTGAGGTAAACAAGCAGCGGAGGCTAACCTGAAACTTCCCGTGCCTTTGTTACCGGTTACTGCTTACTCAGCGAGAAACAGCCAAAAGAAAGTCTCGTTCCTCCGCGCTTCCCGGTTCTATCATTCTATGGTCACCCCATCCACGTTCAAATGTGTGATCCATATTGTGAGACGTGAGCTCCGTAAACAGCCCATGAGCACAGGCTGAGGGGGAGGGGGGTAGTGGGGGGCGATAGCTCCATGAGTGCGGGGAGGGCGAGCAGAAAGAGGCCAGCGCTCACATTCGAAAATTTAACAAAGTGAGTTAGTGCAGCTTTAACGTGGAAGAAACCGCTCTGGACATTAGCTAGCTGGAGCCAATTTCCTTACTCAATTTCCTTACAATTTCCTTATTTGTTCTGACGACGTTAGTTTAACGCAGTAACAGCGGTAGACTGGTTGCTTCGACAGTGGCTAAGGCAAGCTGGTGTAAATCAAGAGAAGGAAGATTAAGATGAAGAGATCCTATATTCGTCCCACAGCGGGGAAATTTCAGCATCTGATTGGTCGATCCCTATGGCTCAATTATCTGGATTTTCAAAGAACATATCACAAAATAAACTCCAGGATTGCAGGATATAATCACCTGAACTCATGACGACAAAGTGCGATTGCAGAGATATCAAACCTGTTGGTTGTAGGTCTGCTGTAGTGCTGCTGCAGCTGTAAAAATCCGTGCATACACTGTGAAATACAGCTGCAGAGGACAATGAGGGGCAGGAGCAGGAATGAGGGCCAGTATCACCTTTAAAATTGGTTAAAGCTGATATACTTGCCGTTACATGATGTTATATATGATGTGGTTGGAGCATGAGAAGCGCGTTGTAAAAAAACACACACAATTGCACGAAACAGCAGGGCCACAAAAAGTGAACTTATGAGCGAGGGACTTAGACCATACTGTGACGAACAGACAAAAATATTCTTGAACTTTAACCAAACTCTGTCTTTTGCAAACTATTATTATCACATTGTTTACAACCACCTCTGCACCTTCTCCACTGACTCCCACTGATGACTGCTGTCGTTGTGTCCTTGGGCAAGACACTTAACCCCACTTTGCCCAAAGCCCCCACTGAAAGATCAAGGCTATGCTCACACTCAGAGAGCAGCCGTCCTCCTGTGGACTCACCACCTGCAGAGGGTCAGTGAGGGGCTGGTGCTATGAGACTTGGGTGGCATCTCTGACTGCCACCCCCCTGACCCAGAAATGGATTAAAGGGAAGAAAATGGATGGATGGATGGATGTTTACAACCATATCCTTGTGAATAAACCATATTTCCACATTTTCTGGTATATTGCGTTTGTCATTGATGGTAGGTCCCCCATATGTTTTCCTCATCTGACATCTCTCCTTCCAACCATAGCCCACCAGCCCCCTCACCGCTGCCCAGAGCCTGCTTTTGGCTGTGTGGAATGGAAATCTGTGGTTTTCTCCAGTGATCTGTTGGGTTCTGGGGCTGTGGTGCGATGTTGGGGAGGGCTGAAACCACCACGAGGAGTTATACGGTAAAAACACAGTGAGTCATTACTGATACTACCCCTGCTTTCCATTATCAATGCATAGTCAAGAACAGAAACTGATTCAATGGAAGAAGGGGACTTATTGGAATGCGCTGGAAATGGCATCAAGTCCGAAGCAGTACTTTACAACTTTATACTTTACAATCAGTATTTTTCTTGCAGTTTACTAGCTGTAGATTTTACTGCAGTACCGTGCTCATGGTTTTACATTGATCCTGTGGAAAAACCAGATTATGCAAGATCTGAACTAAGCAGATCGAGTGTAAATCCACCGGAGGACTGCTAATTTCTCCACTTTCAGCATTACACTCTGGACCAGAGCAGAGAAAATGGTCCAAACAGCATCACTCAGAGGATAGAAAACAGCAATTTTTCTCTACAGCGTTTCCGATATGAATATTTTATTCTCATTTACCCATCCAAAGTTGCATGTATGTTTCTCCAGTGTTCAAGCAGCCATCACTAAGACACTGCCACCGGTGCTGGGATTGTAGGTTGAAGTCGAGGGGCACAAGGATTCTTCTCGATATCCCCATATTCTGGAGAACAATGTCCAGGAATCAGTGACAACACAGTCAAAGTTGCCGCTGGATCTTTTTCAGCAAGACAGAAATTCATGCAGAGAAGCAGGTACCATGTTCTGGAATGGCCATGGCAGTTTCCAGACGCCTGAACATTATTGAAGATTTGTTGTGTGTTTTAAAACAGGCTGTTTGTGCTCAGAACCCATCAAACCTAATTACGGCACGGTGGCTGAGTGGATAGCACTCTCGCCTCTCAGCAAGAAGGTCCTGGGTTCGAATCCCGGTCGGACCAGGGCCTTTCTGAGTGGAGTTTGCATGTTCTCCCCGTGTCTGCGTAGGTTTCCTCCGGGTACTCCGGTTTCCCCTACCACTAAAAATATGTCCAATAGGTCTGGCATGCGCCTCCTGTACTGGCGACCCCGCTCCCATCTCTGTGTGGAGTGAGAGACTAATGCCCAAAAATTGACAATTGTAAACCGCTTTGAGACTCAGATCTGCAGTGAAAAGGCGGTATATAAATAAAGACTACTTACTACTTACTTACTATTAAACACGAGATGATCTGCAAAGAAGAATGGTCCAAAATAAAATACCTTCAACCAGAATCCAGACTCTAATTAGAAGTTAACGTGTTGGAGGCTGCTCTTTCTGCAAAAGATGGATGTAGAAAATATTGTATTGATATTTATTTTTATTATTAGTATTATTAATCTGTATTTCACACTCAAATAAAATTGGTCCATAAAAAAACAAGAATATGAATACAAATTAAGACAATGCATTACAATGTAGACAGTCAAATTACCAAAAAGCATTTATTATGTGGTGCCTACATTTACATTTTGCTTTTTTCTGTAGGATACAAACCTTTTTTACCTTCTCAAATATCACTGTGTTTGTCTCCTATATGATATAATTACCTGACATTTCTCATCCAAACAACCAGTTATTTATCAATCAATCAATCAATCAAATTTTATTTATAGAGCCCTTTACAACACTCAAGGCGACCAAAGTGCTTTACAATAAAATCCCATAAAATGCATTAAAAACATTCATTCAAACAAAATAAAAATAGAACAGTAAGATAAAAAAAAAAAAGTGTTTATAGAGGAAAATCATAACCGTCGCTGTGTGAAGGAGAGGTTCCACAGGTCTTTCCTTCCTGCTGCTGTCAGACTGTACAATGAGAACAGCTGAGCCCGTAAATGTCATTCATCTGCAAATAAGTAGATACTGCAATCAGAATGTCCACTGAACAATATCACTTTACTTTATCTCCTTATTATCCTGCCCTATATGTACAGTACATAACGCCGCACTTTTTTATATATATTTTTGAAAGCAGCTAAACAGCGGCTACAACTTATTTTATATATTTTGTCTGTTCTTACTACTGTCCTGTATGTGCGCTGCAACACTGAAATTTCCCCACTGTGGGACAAATAATCTTAATTATCTAATCTAAAAATGGCATTCCACTGTAGATGTTGAAATTTAAAATGTTCAGTTATGTCCACCAAAGCAGTTGTGTAATCCTTGGCTTGGTAACTCCTATTGCCCCAGTGCAGTTGGCAGCCGCAATCATGAGGGTTTCTGGGGGGGGGGTCTCGTTCAGGAATGCTGGTCCGGGACAAAGCTCTTGTACAAGTTCTCCTTCAGCAGCACATTTTTGGACCCTTATTTTTCCTGCCTGCCTGTGTTGTTATTTTCATTAGTCGTAGAAGACAGTTAAAGTGTTCCAGTTAATTTAGGCTCATCACATGAACTGGGCGAGACCGTCTAGACGCCACAAAGACAATCCTGGGAGCACACTTTATACAGTTAGAAATCAACTTTATTTTAGTTGTATAGCCATGAATTGAAGCGTGGATCTGAGAGTTCAAAATACAACATTATTCAGTGTCTTTTGTAAGTGATGCTCAACAATAGCAAAATCATGCATTATTTATGATACAGGTATTATATATTCAATTCAATTTATCTGTGTATAGTCCTAAATCACAGTCTTGGAGTTAACAAAGTAGTCTATTTGTCAAAAACAAGAAACACATTGGAGCCTGTAGATCCAGGATTGAGGCTGTAGAACCAGGACTGAGGCTGTAGATCCAGGACTGAGGCTGTAGAACCAGGACTGAGGCTGTAGATCCAGGACTGAGGCTGTAGATCCAGGACTGAGGCTGTAGATCCAGGACTGAGGCTGTAGAACCAGGACTGAGGCTGTAGATCCAGGACTGAGGCTGTAGATCCAGGACTGAGGCTGTAGAACCAGGACTGAGGCTGTAGATCCAGGACTGAGGCTGTAGAACCAGAACTGAGGCTGTAGATCCAGGACTGAGGCTGTAGATCCAGGACTGAGGCTGTAGATCCAGGACTGAGGCTGTAGATCCAGGACTGAGGCTGTAGAACCAGGACTGAGGCTGTAGATCCAGGACTGAGGCTGTAGAACCAGAACTGAGGCTGTAGATCCAGGACTGAGGCTGTAGATCCAGGACTGAGGCTGTAGATCCAGGACTGAGGCTGTAGATCCAGGACTGAGGCTGTAGAACCAGGACTGAGGCTGTAGAACCAGGACTGAGGCTGTAGACCCAGGACGGAGACTATGCGGTGCAGGACTGAGGAGGCTCCCAGACGAGGATGTAGGTGCAGCTCACGAGCCCGATAACAGCTGAGATGTTCAAATAACATGCACACTGGTATTTTCCCCTTTGTTCCCGTCAATGACAAAAACATTTTAACAGCCTTCAACCAGATTTCACCAAATACTGAGACCGTAACATGCTAAACGGATTAGAGTCGCACTACACCACTTCTTTGTTCTCAATGATGAAAGTCTAGAACAACCGCCATTGACAATTACCATTCCATCTAAGGACATTACCCATAAAGAAGCCATATAGTGTAAAATGAAACCATGTAGGCCCACCGATAATTGGCCTTCTCATTTACCAACACAAAACAGTTTTAATAGTTCTTTGCATGTTTGAGAAATCTATTGTATTCCCAGTCTTTGCTCAAAATTGATACCAGGGGTCATTAAAACAGACAAAACACAACATCACAGCTTTGCATGGTCTTGAGCATGTGCATAGATGGATCATGCCTACCCACTAGCTCCACAAAGCCCAATAGGGAAGTGCTCATGGACAAAGTTTTCGACTTAAAGGGTTTTCCCAAATTTTGCCCACTCCACTTTATGAAAAACTCTCTGGTCTTGTTTGAGCACTTATCACTAGAAATATTGACAATTAGGAGGACCAATAGTCTTGATGATCCACCCGGAAGCAGAAAATCCTCCAATATACATTTAAGCAATCTTGTCTTTGTAAGTCCAGATATGAGCCATAAAAGGGTTGACCAATCAGATGCCTTCATTCGGCTTGACTTAGCAACTGCCTTAGCAACACATTTGATTCTGTCACGGCGCGAAGCTAACGCCGTCGGAGCAAATATCTATATACTGAAATTAGCTCCAGCTAGCTTAAGTTCAAATCGGCCTCTTCCGCATTATAATTAACACGTTGGTGACGTCACACTCGGTCAATGCACTCCTAATGTACGGTTTAGGGTCTTGAGATAAAAAAAAATTCAGCCACAAGATGTTTTAGTTCTGTTTGTTATGTGTCCAGTTTCCCTTTCTTTGGACGGTATAAACCTCATGTATAACTGACGAGCAGATGGTGCGTTTAAAAGCAGTGAGTATTTTTGGCAGACACCTCGGCACCATCAGGGCATCCTCAACCTTCAACCTCCCTCTTCCGCTCCCAATGTTTTTTTTTGTGCTTTCACGAATATCAATCATAACAAAATAGAACGAGAAATATGCTTATGCCTATGTTGTGGTTGGAGCTCACTACAAAATGACTTCCCACAAGGTCCCCGGTGCATACAGATAAAATGTGTCTTATCCAAATACCAACATTCCTCAGTCTGCCAGACCGGCTCCCGTCTGTTACTTGAAATGATAAATATAGAATCACCATCTTTATTTTACAGTGTATGCACGGCTTGTGACAGCTGCAGCAGCACCCAGGCGCTTCAGCAGTCGTGAGTTCAGGTGGTTAGAAAAGTGTAAAAAGTGTGAGATTGACAGGTTTTACGCCCTTAAAATATAAAACTGCTACTTTGCTGATTTTGCTTCTTGCTGGTAATTTTTTAGAATGCAACCCCTGAAATAAGAGAGGGACCAATATTGCCGGAACCTTCCAACTATCACCATGTTCTGGACTAATGCAATTAATTATTTATCAAATATTGAAATCCTTTTTTGGGGGGGCTAAGTAACAAGAGCTACATTTAATCTAAGTAAATCAAGTTTGTATATGAAAAAAAAAATGGTTTAAAGTTTTATTTGTGCTTATTTGACTCAAGTTACCACATGGTTAGCCTCTGTGGGTCCAAGCACAGTGATGATCCAGTTCATAAAAATGCGTATTACTACATACAAGTTGTATTATAATCCGTA